TAGCACTCTACCACTTGAGCCACAGCGCCACTTCTAGCTTTTTTCTTTTTGCTTATGTGGTGCTGAGGAATCGAACCCAGGGCCTCAGGCATGCAAGGCAAGCGCTCTACCACTGAGCCACCTTCCCAGCCCCGTCCCCCTTTTTTAAATGTTCTAAAAATAGATGGCTCTATGACAACTTGTTTAGAAAGGAAGCAGATGGAAGGCATAGCGCACTGTGCAGTTTTAATTGCAGCAGTGATTTCGGCTGTGGCTGGTGCAGAGTGAGCATGGTAATGACGGGCTTTCATCCTGCTTGAGATGCCAGCCTCCCTGGCCCTGAGGTCACCCCCAGTGCTTCCCGCCAGCTGCTGCACTGGGGGCGGGCCCAGGCCACCCTCCTTGTTTGAAGGAAGCTTAGAGGTGCCTTTATATCTTGTTTAGCAAGTGATCATGCGTAAAGATAAGGAAGATAAGGCTAGGCCCTAGCAGAGGCCCCTTCCTCAGTGGTGAGGCGTGGTAGGAAAGCGGGCAGACCTGAGGCTGCTTCTGCAAATGTCTTCTCAAGGAACACAGGCTAATCATATGCTCGTGTGATCTCCTGGGAGGGCCTGGCGCATCTGTGTGGCTGGAGACTCAAGGTGTGGCATCAGAGCTTGGCATCAGAGCTGGCGCTGAGCCCAAGAAGCCAGCAGCATTGTGACAGGCACACCACGGACCCCCGTGGAGCCCTGGCCCATTTTCCTGTGGGTGTGTGCATCAGCCTCTGTGGTGTGTACATTTGCACGTGTGCCTCACGCCCCTGGTGTATGTGAGCACGTGTGTGCCTTAGGTGCCGTGGTGTGTGGGTCCCCATGTGTGCCACGGGGTGACGCACTGAGGTTCTTGTTCTACTCTTCCTCAGAGAGAAAGCAACTCACCGGCTGAAGCGGTTTAAAGTGTGCTTCCCAGTCCTGGTGCACGATCCAGTCCACGGCCGGGGATGACCTCCCACGCCGCCGCCGGCGTCTGGCGGCCTGCTTCTCCTCACCACATCGTGCAGTCTGAGCTAGTCACCCCAGGGCTGAAGTCGGACGTGCATGTGAGCGCACGTGTGCTCATGCGTGTGCTTGCCCCACCAGAAGACAACATGTGGATTGAGCCCTTTCAAAGCATCTACAAGCTGTGACTCTGGGTAGAGAGATGCACAGACAGGGGAGTTAGCCCATCATGGTGCATTTTTAAAGGAAGGAAGTCGCCCGAGGGAGGACTGATCATCCGTCTGGAAGTATTAGGCTCATTTTTTATCTGTGTCAGGAGGAATATTCCCCTATGGTGGTGGTGGCGGCGGCCCAAGCGTTTCCTGGCTGAAGGTAAAGGGAGCTTATAGGACTAGAGAGATGCTTTCTTCACTGGGAACAGAATTTCTGCGGGGAAGGCACTGTGTACTGCCCCAGCCCCAAGGGCCTTGGCCGCTCCTGCTGCAGCTCAGACCACGGCTCCCGACACACGGGACGCCGCTCCAGCACCGCTCCAGCTGTTGGTGCCTGCGTGTGAGCCCGGCATCAGGTCTTGTCTCAAGTCTGAAATCTCATTCAGTCCTCCATGCATAGTTTTGTCTCATTTCGATGACCGCATCCTCTTGACACATTTACTGTGCTCAGAGCAAGAGCCTATCTTCATAAACACTGCTACAGCACAGACGAACCACGGGCCAAACTCAGACAGACTCTGCACTGCCCTCCCAAACATGTCCTAACTCCATGCAGCCCTGCCACCATGGCCGCCCCACAGGCTCCCAGCCCCGCTCCACTGTGAATTTATAAGACAGAAGGTGATTGGGATCCAAAGATGGCATCCAAGAACCCCAGATTCACATTCCTCTAGTTGAACTGGGCCAGGGTAATGTTGCATGTTGTGTGTGTGAAGTTCTTCATTCATTTTCCTGCCCTTCCTAGACACTAACTCGCAGTTCTGTGTTTTTTTTTTTTAATGAGGGGAGGGGTCTTAAAGGTAAAATGTACAGGAGGGACATGTGTAAATATGTACAATGCTTATGAAGTCATTGTTTATATGTAAAAAGTGTGTACATAGGAAGGAGAAAGGCTTAATGAATGTAGACTATTTTATGAACCTACTGAGTTTGCACACCTGCCTCACTCCTGAAAGCACACATTTAGTTGATGTCACTGCTTCCGTCCACTTACAAAGTCAGAACTGGGATTTTGCCAAAAGGAAAAGGCCTCTCCAAGGGTTCTTGCCGGTGTGAGCATCTGAAAAGGTCAGCCCTGGGAAGGGAAGGTGTGTTTTCTCAGTCCCAGGCTGCATGCTTTGTTCCAAACATTGCTAGACTGGATGTCTTCCAGCACTCTGCAGGAAGGTCTAGATGCGAAGGCCCTGCCCCAGTGAAGCGGGAGGAGGAAGCCGCACTGCGGCCAGGAATCAGAGCTTGTCACTGGCAGGAGCCCTGCAGCACGTGGCGCTCACCATCAGCACGGCATGAAGCAGACAACCTCAGTGCTTTTGGGCTAAAGTCGACGTTCATGTCAACTGCAGAGTGCGTTGTGTTTGTCCATGGTCTGGGGTTCTAGTTGAAGGCCTGCGGCTCTGACTTTAGTCTCTCTTAGAATCTGTAGCTTTCAGGAAACCGGAGTGCCTTATGTAGCTTGTGACACCAACTAGGAGTCAGGAGGGAGGAGGGAAGGTGAGAGGCTTGGACGCGAAGATGGGCTGTGTGTTCTAACACAGACTGACTTAGGTTTAGGCCCAGGAACTCACCTTGTGAACGTAGTATCGACACGCATCTGTTTACTTGTCTTTTTTAGAAGCTTTATTGTGTATTTATGCAAAGGAACGGGCTCGTCTGCGGCGGGCGCGTGCGGGCCGCGCTCCCGCGGTCCGCGCGGGTCCTCAGGGCGGTCCCGCCTGAGTCCTGCGTCGACCTCAGAGTTTTACACGTATTTTTGTACCGCGGTTCTCACGCCGCGTTCCGGAGCATTTCTGCTCCTTCGTCGGGCGTTGTACAGTTCTAATAAAGTGGACTCTTGGACACAGGCTGCCCGTGTGTTACGTGAGCCGTCACTCCGCCGGCGGAGTTCATTCTGCGCAGTGGCTCCGTCCACGCGCAAGGGCCGAGGCCGCACCCGCCCGGGGTCGGGGGCCTCTTCAAACCCGTGCCGCGGGTCCGAGAGCGACACCGCGCACGGCCCCTGCCACCGCGGCTGGCGAGCCGGGAGACGCCGGCGCGGCCTGGGCCTCCACGCGGGCCTCTGTCCTCGCCGGGGGGCGCCACGCCCAGAGCCCGGCCTCGCGGTTCAGCACCCGCGGCGAGGACAGCGCCAGCTCCTCTGCGGGGCCTGCGCGACCGGCCCCGCCACACCCCTGGCCCGGCCCCGCCTGCGCCCGGCCCCGCCTGCGCCCCGCCCCGCCTGCGCCCCGGCCCCGCCCCGCCTGCGCCCGGCCCCGCTCCGCGCCCCAGCCCCGCCCCGCCTGCGCCCCGGCCCCGCCCCGCCTGCGCCCGGCCCCGCCCCGCCTGCGCCCGGCCCCGCCTGCGCCCCGGCCCCGCCCCGCCTGCGCCCCGGCCGCGCCCCGCCCGCGCCCCGGCCCCGCCCCGCCTGCGCCCCGGCCCCGCCCCGCCCGCGCCCCGGCCCCGCTCCGCGCCCCGCCCCGAGTCCCCGACCCCGCGCCCCGCGCAGGCCCCTTCCAGGGACGCGGGACACCCGGTCGCCCATCGCCGTGATGGCACCTAGGCCGCAACGGGCCGCCCCAAGCTCGGCGGCGACTTCCCGGCGGAGGACGCCTTCGAGAGCCGAGCGGCGGCTGCGGGGGCCTGGGGTCGGTCGGCTCCGCCCGCAGCCCCGCAGCCACCGGGAGCCGGGCGGAGACGCCCCGCGGTCGGCCCTGGCCCGTCCTGCCCGGCCCCGCCTGCCGCCCTCAGCAAGCCCGCCCCCGGGGCGAGGCCTCGGAGCCCGGGGGAAGGAGGCCGGGATCCGGTCCGGCCGGCACGCTCACCCTCCTGGGCGCCGGTGTCGGCCCCGGACCTGCGTGTGCGCCCCGGCCTCGGCTCCCGGGGTCCTCGGGGACAGACTGCGCCCCCGCCTCGGGGTCCTCGGGGACGGACTGCGCCCCATCTCGGGGTCCTCGGGGTCGGACTGCGCCCCATCTCGGGGTCCTCGGGGACGGACTGCGCCCCCGCCTCGGGGTCCTCGGGGTCGGACTGCGCCCCCGCCTCGGGGTCCTCGGGGTCGGACTGCGCCCCATCTCGGGGTCCTCGGGGACGGACTGCGCCCCCGCCTCGGGGTCCTCGGGAACGGACTGCGCCCCGCCTAGGGGTCCTCGGGGACGGACTGCGCCCCGCCTCGGGGTCCTCGGGGACGGACTGCGCCCCGCCTCGGGGTCCTCGGGGACGGACTGCGCCCCCACCTCGGGGTCCTCGGGGATGGACTGCGCCCCGCCTCGGGGTCCTCGGGGACGGACTGCGCCCCCACCTCGGGGTCCTCGGGGATGGACTGCGCCCCGCCTCGGGGTCCTCGGGGATGGACTGCGCCCCGCCTCGGGGTCCTCGGGGATGGACTGCGCCCCGCCTCGGGGTCCTCGGGGATGGACTGCGCCCCGCCTCGGGGTCCTCGCAGCGCGGAGGTCAGGACCCGAGATCGGCTTCCAGCCCCAGCCTGGGGTGCCTCGGGGACCACCGACAGGACGTGGCGGAGCTCACGTCCCCTCCCTCGGTCCGCGTGGGGACCGCGAGTCCGTGAAGGACGGAGCTCTAGGCCCGACGAGAGGTTGCAGGGAACATGGAAAGGGCCCCACCCTGGAGCCCGGCCTACGCTTAACCCCGGGGCGTGGCCGGGCGCTCGGAGGCGTGGTCTCGGTCCCGGGGGCGTGGCCTGGTGCGCGGAGGCGTGGCTTTGGCTCCGGGGCGTGGCCTGGTGCGCGGAGGCGGGGACTGGGGGCGGAGCCGGGCGCCCCGCACGCTCGCTCTCGGGCGCCCCGCGCACACGCTGGGCTCCGAGTGTGTCCCCGCCCGCACACCCGCGCCCGCGTCGCCTCGACGGAGTCCAAGGCCAGTCCAGGAGCAAAATGTCCTTCCAAGGCAAGAAGAGCATACCGCGCATCACGGTGAGCCAGTCCCGCTTCGCTCCGTCCCGCGCCCTCGCCCCGCGGCCTACCGGCCCCGCCCGGGGCCCGGCCCCGGCCCCTCGGCCCGGCTCGTCCGCCCCGGCCCGGCCCCTCCGCCCCGGCCCGGCCCCTCCGCCCCGGCCCGAGCCCCTCCGCCCCGGTCCCTCCGCCCCGGCCCCTCCGTCCCGGCCCCTCCGCCCCGACCTCTCCGCCCCGGTCCCTCCGTCTCGGCCCCAGCCCCTCCGCCCCGGCCCCTCCGTCCTGGCCCCTCCGCCCCGGCCTCTCCGCTCCGATCCCGGCCCCGGCCCCTCCACCCCAGTCCCTGCGCCCGGGTCCCGGCCCCCCCTCCCCCCCGAGCCCCTCCGCCCCGGCCCTTCCGCCCCGGCCCTTCCGCCCCAGTCCCTCCGCCCCGGCCTCTCCGCTCCGATCCCAGCCCCGGCCCCTCCGCCCCAGTCCCTCCCCGCGCGCCGCGGCGCAGGCCCGGGGCTCGCAGCCTTGTGGAGTCGCTCTGCGACCGGCTCGGCGCGGCCCGCGTCCCCGAGCTCAGGTGCGCGCCCTCCCGCGGCCGCGAAGGCGGGGACCGGCCCCGAGCCCCGCCTCCGGGCGGCGGGCGGCCCGGGCCTTTGTCGGCCGGGCGGCGGGCGCTCTTTGTCCCAGACAAAGCTGCGCGGAGGGCGCCTCCGGCCGGCCCCGGCCCCGGCCCCGGCCCCGGCCGGCCGCCGCGCGGCCCGCACACAAAGCCGCCCCGCCGAGCGCGCGAGCACGGCGCGGACCGCCCGTCCCCAGCTTGCGGCCGCCAGCCCGGACCCTCGGGGAGATTGGCGGCGGGGCGCCCCGTATGCAGCCTGGGGGACCCAGCTGCGAGGCGCGCGGGGGCCCGGCCGGGGCATCGCACAGCCCGTCCTTCCCCTCGGCCCCTGCGAACAGAGACCCCAGACCACGGCCTCCCCCAGCCGGGCCTTGGCTTCGGGCGCGGGTTTTCCCGGGGTTTGCTGAGGATGGTGGGGTCGTGCGGGGACGGGCCCGGCCTGGGAGCAGTGACGCGGCGGGGCGGGGCGGGGCGGGCTCTGTGGGGAGGGGCGCGGCGCTGGGGACCAGGTCCACTGACTTCTAGGACCAGCTGATACTTCGAGCCTCGGCCGGTCCCAGCCACGTACAAGGTGGCTCATAGGTGTGACTAATCCAGTGACACTGCGCTGGTGTTATTAGTTGCTACTATTATTAAATCACTTAATATTAATGCATTTGGCACTTCTGTGAACCATGTAATATTCTTTTTTCCCCCAACCAATATACAGGTGCAGGTTGTACGAAGACAGGTAGAGGGCCGAATCTGGCTGCAGCTTAGTTTATCATCAACCTTTTGGTAGACTTAGTGGTGGTGGACTGGCCCTTCATTAACACCATTTTCAAAGTTCAGCCGAGTGGTGTGTGTCAGCGAGGCCAGGGCATGGCACACCAGCTCCCTCACCTCTTGCCCTGCAGAGCTCAGTGCGCTCTGGGTTGGTTCCCTAGGGGAAGGAGTTGGGAACAGGGGCCCTGGCCTGGCCTCTCCAGGGGCAGTGAGAGCTCCGGGTGTGCGCCCTGCTTCCTAGTAGATGCAGACAGTACTGGAAGGGACAGGACCCCTCATTCAGCCTTCCCCCCTGGCTCCTCCCCTCTTTTGTGTCTCTCCATGCCTCTCCCCTGAGGACCCCTGGAAATACCAGGAGCAACTCCTCCTTGACCACTTGGTTTATTCTTAGGAGAGGCTTTATGGCTGCCAAGCATGATAGCCTGGCCCTTAGCTTCCATGGCCCATGCTGCCAGGGTTTTCTCTGAGAGCCAGCGCCAGCCTCAGCCTCAGGCCGTTGGCCTACTTACTTGGAGAGCCTCTAGACGGCCTCAAACCTGTGGCCAACTGATTTCTTTCTTGCCCTTCCTCCCCCATGGTCCCTCTATGTTTAAGCCCTGCTCACTGGACTCATCCCAGCCCCATCTCTCACCCCCCAAGTCCATAACCCTGGGCCCTGATCTCTAGCTCATGTGGACAACCTCCAAGTCACCCATTTCCCTACTTCCCATGGCAGCCAAGTCAATCTCTTACAGCGTCCAACAGAAACCAGCTGATGACCTGCGGTGTCAGCACCTGGAACTGGGCCCCAAGTACCCCACCACTGCCCTTCTGAGCCCTGCTCCTGCCTCTTGCCCCTCTGTTTAGAAGGTTCCAGCCCCCACTTTCCTCTGGGGTGGTACAACTCCAACTCTGTCTGCCTTCCATGGCCATTCATTGCACGGGCTGCTTCCTGGCACAGAGCCCGAGGGGCCTTCACCGGCCCTGGGCAGCCCCACCCCTCTCACCCTGTGCCTGCCTCTCTGCTGTGCTCTGTGTGTCTGTCTGATGACCTGTGCACGTGTTTTATTGCTTCCATCTGTCTCTGCAGGGGCCTCCGGAGCAGAGGAGGGGATGGGGAAAGGGACTGTGTCTGCTGGGGGCTCCGGGCAGCAGAAGCCCAGCACTGTCAGCCCCCAGCCTCATGGGCAGGTGGATGACGACATGGTTGGGGAGGGTCTCTGAGGCTGTGGGCTGGGCACACAGCTGTGCTTGCTGCTCGGCTCAGCCCTCTGTCTCCAGCGCATGACTGAGCAGCAGGTGCAGGGCTGTGTGAAGTCCCTTCTGCAGCGCTGAGCACCCTCTTTGAGCATAGTAACTCCTCGGTTATCATGGACAGTTTAAGGCACCTGAGCAGTTTTTCTGAGTGTGCTGGTGCTGGGTATTGAACTCAGTGCACCACCTCTTGTTTGTTTGTTTGTTTTAATTCAAGGCTGGTGTTCTAGCTTTTAATTTGGTTAATTGGACACAAGAGTCTCTTGTCTGAATAGGGTGTGTTTAAACTGTGACCATCAGAGCTCAGCCTCCTGAGTGGCCTGGGTCATAGGAATGAGCCACTGGCAGCTGGCCTGAGCTGCTTTTACCCATCCACAGATGGTGCCACAGGTCTCAGTGGTAATCCCAGGAGAAGGAGCTGAATGGCTCAGTCTAGAGGGAAAAATGTCCATTTCTTTGCTTCCACCAGAGCGACCGCCTCCTGATCAAAGGTGGGAAGATTGTGAATGATGACCAGTCCTTCTATGCCGATCTGTATGTGGAAGATGGCTTGATTAAGTAAGTGTCTACTCCCCGTGAGTGGAGTGCAAGGCTGTCACACGTGTGTGCTTTGGTGACCCCATATGCAGGTGTTTGTGTCTAGGTGGAAGCCAGGTGGATGTGTTCATCTTTTTGGAACCCCTTTCCCTGAACACCACTGCAGCCTGAGTCCTGATCACCGCGCCCCCCCCCCCCCACCGCCTGAGTCCTGACCCCTCCCCCTCCCCTCCCCCCCTGAGTCCTGGCCCCTCCCCCTCCCCCACCCCCCCTCGCCTGAGTCCTGGCCCCTCCCCCCCACCCACCTGAGTCCTGGCCCCTCCCCCTCCCCTCCCCCTCCCCCCTCCCCACCCTGCCCGCCTGAGTCCTGGCCCCTCCCCCGGCAGCGTGAGGCCTCAGGCTACCATATGTCTTGTGTCTCCACAGCTCTTCGGAGGATGTGGTATACAATGTTGTGCTTAACAGATCCTGACCTCTCTGGGCTGCTGGTCTGGAAGGCACAAGCAGGAGCCAGGAAGGGAGGGATGGAAGGCACAGGTCCAGGCCCCCATGTTGCCCCTGGAGCTGCGGGACTGGAGGTCTGGCTCTGTGGCAGGCATGGTGTGACCAAATGTTGAGGCCTCTCCTGTTGCTTTCAGACAAATCGGGGAGAACCTCATCGTCCCCGGGGGCATCCGAACCATCGACGCCCATGGCCTGATGGTCCTGCCTGGCGGAGTCGACGTGCACACCAGGCTGCAGGCGCCTGCGCTGGGCATGGCGCCCGCTGATGACTTTGCGCAGGGCACCACAGCCGCCCTGGCCGGAGGGACCACCATGGTCTGTGAGTGTCCGGGCCCAGCCTCCAGGGGGCAGCATCCAGAGAAGCGTCCTTACCTGTTGTTTTCCTTCTTATATCTGAGACTGGGGAAGCTCCAGTGCCTTCTGCTGCCCAGAGCCTCTGGTGGGGCTCCTGGCTGGCTCCGCAGCGTGGCTGAGGTCTGTGAGGGCAGATGGACATGCACTTGGTTCCGGCTGGTGGCGAGGGCCTGCATTTGGAAAAGCCACACACTGTACCCTTCCGGGCTGCGTGGGCCTTGCTGCAGTCAAGGGAGGAGCTCCCTGGGGTCGTAGGGTCCTGGACAGGCCCACTCATCACAGCTTGGTTTGCTTACTCAGTGCAGGGAGGGACCCCCACCAGCAGGCCCCCAGTGCCGTGTGGCTGGGAGGGGGCCGTGCTGATGCCACCTGCCCGTGCCAGGCTGAGGGGACAGGCAGGAGGTCCAAGCTGTGAACAGTTGTCCGGGGTCCTGGTTCATCGCGAGCCCCTCTGAGGGGTGTCTTGCTCTCCTGCTCGGCCCCTGCTCTGAGCAGCTTCCTGGCATGTCCTAGAGCGGCCAGCGACTAACGTTTGGACCTGACCGCAGGAACGCTGGCAGCAAGGGTGCTGGCTGGCAGAAGAGACACAGGGCGCAGAGGCCGTGGGGCTATAGGAGCCCAGTGTGGTGTGGGGCAGGCCCGGGGGCAGCCAGGTGGGGCAAGGGAGCCCCTCCCGCCTCTCCTCCAGGGGGCAGTATCACAGCAGTCAGCTCCTGCCGGGCAGGGACTCTGACTGGAGCTGGGTGGCTGCCCAGCCTCTTACCCCACTTCTGTGCTCAGAGAGGCCGGGGTGGGCAGAGGGGCCTGGGAGCTGCGGGCAAGGTGGCCCCCACCTGTGTGGTCTTCCTCCTGTCCGTTTTCTGCGGGGGGACTCACCGACCCGTGGTGCGCCTGGCTGACCCGCTGCTCTGCACAGTGGACCACGTGTTTCCGGACGCGGGTGTGAGCCTGCTGGCGGCCTACGAACAGTGGCGGGAGCGGGCGGACACTACAGCCTGCTGCGACTACTCGCTGCACATGGACGTCCCCCGCTGGCACGAGAGCACCAAGGAGGAGCTGGAGGCCCTGGTCAAGGACAAGGGTGAGGGGAGAGCCGGAGGCCCTGGTCAAGGACCAGGGTGAGGGCTGGGAAGGTGGCTCAGTGGTAGAGGGCTTGCCTTGAGCTGAAGAGCTGAGGGACAGTGCCCAGGCCCAGAGTTCAGACCCCACAACTGGACCCCCCCCCCAAAAAAAAAGGCCGAGGGTGAGAGGTCAAGGGTGGGTGAGAGGAGAGCCGGAGGCCCTGGCCAAGGACAGGGGTGAGAGCAGCTCCGACAGCCCAGGGCTGGGAAGGGGGCAGGGGCCTGGGCTTCCCCGTGCCAGCGGACCACCTGCCTGCGTGCTACGTGAGGCGGCCCCTTCCCGACCCGTGTCCAGCTGCCCTCGGCCGACCTGACTGCAGGTGCCTGGCATTGAGTAGAAGTTGGAGGGCTGTTGAGGCTTGCTTTAGGAGGCTGGGGGTGGAGGTCTCCCCGCAGCCAGTGCCCTGTGGCAGGTCTCCTCATACAGGGGAGCAGTGGCCAGGCTGTCCTCGGTTCTGCTCCTGGGGTGCAGGAGAGGCAGCTGCCCATTTCCCGGGGGCCGAGGCCCTCGCAGGAGGGGGTGGGAAGCCCTGGTCTCTGCGCCGCTGCCCGCTCGGGAACAGCTGGTTATAACCGAGGATGTGCTCTGCTGCCAGAGGAAGTCTGGAAGCTAAACCCCCGCCAAGCGGAGCAGTGAATTTGACCAGAATTAGACACAGACTCGGACGTATTAGCACTGGGTCTTCGGTGGGGGTTGGGGGTCCAGGACATGGGACTGGCTTTGGGTTGGGGCTGCCGCTGAGCCCTGACTGGGGAGGGGTGCAGGCCCCGGCTGCCCAGTTAGTGGACAAGTGTAGCTGCTCCTGACTGGGTCCCAGCGCCCTGGGCAGTGCTAAGACCCTGGCCCGTGCTCTGTCCTGGGGCCTCGCTCTGCCTCCCGCCCCGGGCTCCGCCTTCCACCCCGACTCCGCCTCCCGCCCACCCCGGGCTCCACCTCCCGCCCTGGCTCCGCCTCCCACCTGCCCCAGGCTCCACCTCCCGCCCCGGGCTCCGCCTCCTGCCTGTCCCGGGCTCCACCTCCCGCCCCGGGCTCCGCCTCCTGCCTGTCCCGGGCTCCACCTCCCGCCCCGGGCTCCGCCTCCTGCCTGTCCCGGGCTCCACCTCCCGCCCCGGGCTCCGCCTCCTGTCCCGAGCTCCACCTCCCACACCAGCTCCGCCTCCCTCCTGCCCCAGGCTCTGCCTCCCACCTAAGCTCCGCCTTCCACCTGGCCCCGCCTGCCCCTGGCTCCACCTCCCACCCTGGTTCCACCTCCCACCTGCCCCAAGCTCCACCTCCCACCCCGGCTCCGCCTCCTGCCTGCCCCGAGCTCCACCTCCCGCCCTGGGCTCCGCCTCCCACCCCAGCTCCGCCTCCTGCCTGCCCCGGGCTCCGCCTCCCACCCCGGCTCCGCCTCCTGCCTGCCCCGGGCTCCGCCTCCGGAGCTCCCCAGCCCCGCCGCCAGGCAGGCCCGGCCCTGTTTCTGGTGCAGGTGGGTGGGGCTGGGCCGGGCCTGAGCAGAAGGAGGGAGGGCATGGGCGCCACCCCCGCTCCACCCGTGCCCTGCGGGAGGAGCCCTGCGCGCCTCTGAGCGCCGCCGCCTCCCCCAGGCGTGAACTCCTTCCTGGTCTTCATGGCGCACAGGGACCGGTGCCAGTGTTCGGACGGGCAGGTGAGGCCGGCACGCGGCGGGGGCGCTGGGCCGGGCCCGGCCGCGGCGCCGCACTCAGGACCTCGTCCTCTCTCCGCCCAGATGTACGAGATCTTCAGCATCATCCGGGACCTGGGGGCCGTGGCCCAGGTCCACGCCGAGAACGGGGACATCGTGGAGGAGGTGCGGGGCCGGGGGACAGGGGGTTCAGCCTCAGCGCCAGGCCCACAGCCCTCCAGAGCGCTGCCGAAAACAGCCTGCCGGGGCCAAAGGTTGAGCCACCCGGAGCACAGGCCCTGTGACCTCCGCCCTCACTAGCAAGATGCCCTGGACTGCAGTGGGCTGCGGGCCTGGGTGGGAAGCGCCCCGCTCCGCCCCCGGCCGCGCGCGCCCTCTGCTGGGGACGCTCGGGAGCCGCGGCCTGGCTCACCTCCCGCCGACCGGGGCACCCTGGGGCCAGCACGAAGGGGGGGTGGACGGGGGGGGGCAGCCCTCCGGCCGGGGCCTCCCATCCGGGAGGCCGAGGGAGCCAGGCCGGCCGCCATCCGGCCGCAGGGACTTCCCGGCCCGCTCCCGCCTGAGCTGGAAGGCAGTGGGGCAGAGTTAGAGGCCGCCCGTCCCACCTTGAGGGCATCGGGACCTCTGCGCAGCGCATGGTTCGAGGCCCGGGCCTGCTCCGGGGTCAGGAGCCCAGAGGCCGAGGTCCCCCGTCCCCGGCATTGTCGGGGACTGTCGTGGCGGGAGAGGGAGACCGCACCCTTCAGGGACCAGGGACGACATGTGGCTGGAGGGGCCGTTGGTCACCCGACTTCGTAGAGGCCTCTGCCTGTGTCCACCACACACACTTGCACTTGTGCAATGACAGGCAGAAGGTCCCGCTGTGGACAGGAGGTCTGGCTGCAGCCAGCCCCCCCCCCCAGCCCTCCCGCTCCAGTCCCCCCCCCCCCCCGTCCTCCCGCTCCAGTCCCCCCCAGCCCTCCCGCTCCAGTCCCCCCCCAGCCCTCCCGCTCCAGTCCCCCCCAGCCCTCCCCCTCCAGTCCCCCCCCAGCCCTCCCCCTCCAGTCCCCCCCCAGCCCTCCCCCTCCAGTCCCCCCCAGCCCTCCCGCTCCAGTCCCCCCCAGCCCTCCCGGCCCTCCCACTCCAGTCCCCCCCCCAGCCCTCCCGCTCCAGTCCCCCCAGCCCTCCCGCTCCAGTCCCCCCCCAGCCCTCCCGCTCCAGTCCCCCCAGCCCTCCCGCTCCAGTCCCCCCCAGCCCTCCCGCTCCAGTCCCCCCCCAGCCCTCCCGCTCCAGTCCCCCCCAGCCCTCCCGCTCCAGTCCCCCCCAGCCCTCCCGCTCCAGTCCCCCCCCAGCCCTCCCGCTCCAGTCCCTCCCAGCCCTCCCGCTCCAGTCCCCCCCCAGCCCTCCCAGCCCTCCCGCTCCAGTCCCCCCCCAGCCCTCCCGGCCCTCCCACTCCAGTCCCCCCCAGCCCTCCCGCTCCAGTCCCCCCCAGCCCTCCCGCTCCAGTCCCCCCCCAGCCCTCCCGGCCCTCCCACTCCAGTCCCCCCCCCAGCCCTCCCAGCCCTCCCGCTCCAGTCCCCCCCCAGCCCTCCCGGCCCTCCCACTCCAGTCCCCCCCAGCCCTCCCGCTCCAGTTCCCCCCAGCCCTCCCGCTCCAGTTCCCCCCAGCCCTCCCGCTCCAGTCCCCCCCTCCTCCCGCTCCAGTCCCCCCCACCTCCAGCCCCGCGAGCTCTCTGTGCCTCTGAGGGGGCAGGGCCTGTGCCAGGGACTCACATTTAGGGCGCAGCATCCCTTGGGGCATAGCCAAGCTTCCTGCGGGGTTTGTTTAGGAGCAGAAGCAGCTGCTGGAACGCGGCATCACGGGTCCCGAGGGCCACGTGCTCAGCCACCCCGAGGAGGTGAGTGGTGGGGGTCTTGGAAGCCTCCCCTTCCCCAGCCAGACTTCACCCCAGGCGGCCAGCACCCTGTAGTCCTGGTCTGTGGCCTGGGCAGGCGTCCCCTGGCTTCCCAGGCCCCATGACCCCGTCCCCCCTCAGCCCTTCCTGAGATGACAGCAGGGTGGGGTGTGAGGCTGCACAGGTCCGTGTGGGTGCCAGGCTCTGGCCGGCCCAGAATCCTGCGTGTGACCCATGGTGTCTCAGGTCCCCAGCGCGGTCAGGAACTCCCCCCACATGCAGGTCAGGCCCCCCATGCCCTGAGTGCCCGTCCTCCCCCCCCACACCCCAGGTGGAGGCTGAGGCTGTGTACCGCGCCATCACCATCGCCAAGCAGGCCAACTGCCCACTGTATGTCACCAAGGTGATGAGCAAGGGCGCAGCCGATGTGATTGCCCAAGCCAAGCGCAGGGGTGAGTGCTGCCCCCCACACCAAACGCAGGGGTGAGTGCTGCCCCCCACCAAGCGCAGGGCTGAGTGCTGCCCCCCACCAAGCGCAGGGCTGAGTGCTGCCCCCCACACCAAACGCAGGGGTGAGTGCTGCCCCCCACCAAGTGCAGGGCTGAGTGCTGCCCCCCACACCAAACGCAGGGCTGAGTGCTGCCCCCCACACCAAACGCAGGGGTGAGTGCTGCCCCCCACCAAGCGCAGGGCTGAGTGCTGCCCCTCACCAAGCGCAGGGGTGAGTGCTGCCCCCCACCAAGCGCAGGGCTGAGTGCTGCCCCCCCACACCAAGCGCAGGGGTGAGTGCTGCCCCCCACCAAGCGCAGGGGTGAGTGCTGCCCCCCACACCAAGCGCAGGGGTGAGTGCTGCCCCCCACCAAGTGCAGGGGTGAGTGCTGCCCCCCACCAAGCGCAGGGCTGAGTGCTGCCCCACACCAAGCGCAGGGGTGAGTGCTGCCCCCCACACCAAACGCAGGGGTGAGTGCTGCCCCCCACCAAGCGCAGGGCTGAGTGCTGCCCCCCACACCAAACGCAGGGCTGAGTGCTGCCCCCCACCAAGTGCAGGGGTGAGTGCTGCCCCCCACCAAGCGCAGGGGTGAGTGCTGCCCCCCCACACCAAACGCAGGGCTGAGTGCTGCCCCCCACCAAGCGCAGGGCTGAGTGCTGCCCCCCACCAAGCGCAGGGGTGAGTGCTGCCCCCCCACACCAAACGCAGGGCTGAGTGCTGCCCCCACACCAAGTGCAGGGGTGAGTGCTGCCCCCCCACCAAGCGCAGGGCTGAGTGCTGCCCCACACCAAGCGCAGGGGTGAGTGCTGCCCCCCACACCAAACACAGGGGTGAGTGCTGCCCCCCACCAAGTGCAGGGGTGAGTGCTGCCCCCCACCAAGCGCAGGGGTGAGTGCTGCCCCCCACCAAGTGCAGGGCCGAGTGCTGCCCCCCACCAAGCGCAGGGCTGAGTGCTGCCCCCCACCAAGCGCAGGGCTGAGTGCTGCCCCCCACCAAGCGCAGGGGTGAGTGCTGCCCCCCACACCAAACGCAGGGCTGAGTGCTGCCCCCCACCAAGCGCAGGGGTGAGTGCTGCCCCCACACCAATCGCAGGGGTGAGTGCTGCCCCCCACCAAGCGCAGGGCTGAGTGCTGCCCCCCACCAAGCGCAGGGCTGAGTGCTGCCCCCCACCAAGCGCAGGGGTGAGTGCTGCCCCCCACCAAGCGCAGGGCTGAGTGCTGCCCCCCACCAAGCGCAGGGGTGAGTGCTGCCCCCCACCAAGCGCAGGGCCGAGTGCTGCCCACACACCAAGCGCAGGGGTGAGTGCTGCCCCCCACCAAGTGCAGGGCTGAGTGCTGCCCCCCACCAAGTGCAGGGGTGAGTGCTGCCCACACACCAAGCGCAGGGGTGAGTGCTGCCCCCCACCAAGCGCAGGGGTGAGTGCTGCCCCCCACCAAGCGCAGGGGTGAGTGCTGCCCCCCACCAAGCGCAGGGGTGAGTGCTGCCCCCCTCCAAGCGCAGGGCCGAGTGCTGCCCACACACCAAGCGCAGGGGTGAGTGCTGCCCCCCTCCAAGCGCAGGGGTGAGTGCTGCCCCCCACCAAGCGCAGGGGTGAGTGCTGCCCCCCTCCAAGTGCAGGGGTGAGTGCTGCCCCCCTCCAAGCGCAGGGGTGAGTGCTGCCCCCTCCAGTTCTGCTGCCCGAGGCCCTCTGGTGGCGGGTGCGGGCCTGACAGGAGGCCTGTGGGTGGCCCAGCTCCCTGGGCACCTGCTCTTTGGGTTAGACCAGGGGTGCAGCAAGGGAGGTGCAGACACCACCTCCTGCTGTCGGAGCAGCAGCTTCCCGTGGGGGCCGTGTGAAGCACTGGGGCCTGGCTAGTGTGGGGGGGCAGTAGAGGTTGCGTCCGAGGGGCTCCCCATTCCAGTGCATGTCCACAGCGGCTGTGGCATCGGGAGCTGAGGTACCTCTGCAAGGCTTGGGGTTCCTCACGCGGAGCATCCCGGCAGGAGTTGGGCACCTATGCCTAGCTAGCTATTAGGGACTGGACCGCACCAAGGTGGGGCCCCAAGTAGGACCAGAGTCTGGTGCCCAGTGGCACCCCGCCCTCCCCACCTGTCCTGGCCAGTGGCTCGGGCGGGAGCCGGTGTGCGGTGGGGACACTGCCCTGTCCCCTGGGGCGGGCCACGGGCCCCACTGCTCCCAGGGTGCTGGCGGCGGCCGGGCAGCCCCACCCACCCTGACCCAGCATTTCTCCCACCCATCAGCCTGGCCAGAACTCTGAGTGAGGCCCGTCCCAGAGCCTGGGGCTGGCCCACGGCCGGCAGTGGCTGGCCAGACTCTGGTGATGCGGCAGGTGCCCTGGGACCCCAGGGCCGACCACCGGCCCAGCCAGGGACTTGGTCCTCTGCCAAGCTAGAGGCGGTGGGGGGCTGGGGGGCCGGGGGACCCTGCAGGGAGGGGGGAGAGGCCTGCACTGTCTTGCCCTCCACAGGGGTGGTTGTGTTCGGGGAGCCCATCACTGCCAGCCTGGGCACGGACGGCTCACATTACTGGAGCAAGAACTGGGCTAAGGCCGCGGCCTTTGTCACTTCGCCCCCCATCAGCCCCGACCCCACCACCGCAGACCACCTCAGCGCCCTGCTGTCCAGGTGAGCAGTCACCCAGGCCAGAGCCGTGTGGAGGCCGTGGCCCCAATGGGGCTTCCTCCTTGGGAGCTGCCCCAACCCCACCCTGCTTGTGTACTCCCCACCCCCCGCCGTGGCTCCGCCCACGCCTGCTGCCCTCCCCACTGGCACCTTCTCTGCCAGTTCAGACTTCTCAGTGTCCCGTGGCTGGGAACACCCTAGCCCTTGACGGCAGGCAGGGCCGCCCCGGCCCCTGACCCTGCCTGTTCCCAGCGGGGACCTCCAGGTGACCGGCAGCGCGCACTGTACCTTCACCACTGCCCAGAAGGCCGTCGGCAAAGACAACTTCACACTGATCCCGGAGGGCACCAACGGCGTGGAGGAGCGCATGTCCATAGTCTGGGAGAAGTGTGTGGTGAGTTTGGGCCGGGCAGTGTCAGGGGTGTGTGTCTATGGGGGAGTGTGTGGTGAGTCTGGGCCGGGCAGTGTGCAGGGGCTTGTGTCCATGGGGGAGTGTGTGGTGAGTCTGGGCCGGGCAGTGTGCAGGGGCATGTGTCTATGGGGGAGTGTGTGGTGAGTCTGGGCCGGGCAGTGTGGAGGGGCATGTGTCCATGGAGGAGTGTGTGGTGAGTCTGGGCCGGGCAGTGTGGAGGGGCTTGTGTCCATGGGGGAGTGTGTGGTGAGTCTGGGCCGGGCAGTGTGCAGGGGCATGTGTCTATGGGGGAGTGTGTGGTGAGTCTGGGCCGGGCAGTGTGGAGGGGCATGTGTCCATGGAGGAGTGTGTGGTGAGTCTGGGCCGGGCAGTGTGGAGGGGCTTGTGTCCATGGAGGAGTGTGTGGTGAGTCTGGGCCGGGCAGTGTAGAAGGGCGCGTGTCCGTGGGGTAGTGTGTGGTGAGTCTGGGCCGGGCAGTGTGCAGGGTCGCGTGTCTGTGGGGTAGTGCGTGGTGAGTCTGGGCCGGGCAGTGTGCAGGGGCGTGTGTCCGTGGAGGAGAGTATGGTGAGTCTGGGCCAGGCAGTGTGGAAGGGTGCGTGTCCGTGGGGTAGTGCGTGGTGGGTCGGGGCCGGGCAGTTTGGACACTGGGAGGGGCCAACTCCCAACCACAAGTGTTCCCAAGTAGAGGTTGGACTGGTCCTCACCACCAGCTCTGCCCAGCTTCCCAGGGCACAGATGCACCGCCCAGCTCCAGGCTGGAGAGTGGGGGCTCTGTGCCCTGTCCCCACCCTTCCTCCGGGCTCACCTCTTATCTGGCTGGCATCCCACTGCATCACATGGAGCCCCTGGGAAAGGTCATGGGATCAGGAGCGTGTCAGACCCCAGGCCTGGTCAGGGTCATTGGTGTCCCCTGCCTGACTCTGGGGTGCTCTGGTGGTGTCCACCATACCTGATCCCTCCCTCCCCTCCCCCCCCCCCCCCCGCTGTTTTTGCTTCTCAGGCCTCGGGAAAAATGGATGAGAATGAGTTTGTTGCTGTGACCAGTACCAATGCTGCCAAAATCTTCAACTTTTACCCCAGGAAGGGGCGTGTGGCTGTGGGCTCTGATGCCGACCTGGTCATCTGGAACCCGAGGGCCACCAGGGTCATCTCTGCCAAGACCCACAACCTGGTGAGAAGCCTGCTCCCCCCCTGTCAGGGCCTGGCCCGGGCTCTGAGGGCCCCCCGACCCGCAGCTGAGTGGGCTCTGTCCCCACCCCTGGAAGGAGGGGCTCCGTCTGCACCCCCCAGCCCTGGCCCTTCCCCAGGACGTCAGTCTTCACCTTGAAGCCACCTGGGGCTGACGCTGACTACTCCTCCAGGGGAGAGGCAGAGGGCGCTGCCTGCCCGCAAGGGTGGCAAAGTTCCTATCAGAACTGGGGTGCTGGGTGGCCCCACCGTGTCTTGTTGGGGTCTTGGCCTGGCACACAGCTTCCCGAGGGCCTCTGCCCAGCGCGAGGCCCGCAGGACCGTGCCAGGCCTGATGGGCACCCTGCGGGCCTGTCTTCCCAGAACGTGGAGTACAACATCTTGGAAGGCGTGGAGTGCCGGGGGGCCCCGGTGGTGGTTATCAGTCAGGGCCGAGTTGTGCTGGAGAGCGGGGCCCTCCTGGTCACCCCGGGGGCCGGCCGCTTCATCCCCCGGAAGACCTTCCCGGACTTCGTGTACAAGAGGATCAAAGCCCGGAACAGGGTAAGGGCCTGGCCGAGTGCAGGGGCCCTGTAGCTTGGTGGACATGGCCAGCAGGATGGTTGGGCATGGCCTGCAGGGGGCAGGCAGGCAGGGCAAGCAATGGGCGTGGCCTGCAGGGAGCCAGCAGGGCAGTGGGTGTGGCCCACAGAGGTGGCTCCAGTGGTGGGTGTGGCCCACAGGCACCCCCCTCCCCTCCCAGCTGCACCAGTTTGGAGCACTTGGTGCAGCACTCAGGTATCACGAAGATGTCCAGGCAGACCTCGGGACTGCACTGTGAATTCACAGGCCCATTATTAAATATTGGGGCGTGGAGCTGCTTTATAGCAGGCTTGATGAACCTAGAGGTTGTACGCCTTCGCCTCACCCCCGTCTTCCATTGGAGCCCAGAGCTCCGAGGGTGCTAGTGGGAAGCACAGGCTGGTCTGAGAGCAACTCCAGACTCTGGGTTTTATATCACACCGGGTGCCGGGCAAGGCCTGCAGATTGGGTCAGGAGCCACAGGCCCTGCAGGTGACCAGGCCTGTGTCAGAGGAGATGCTGGCTGTGGGAGGGGCTGCTGGGGTGAGTGTGTAGGAGGAGGGGTTTCTGGGGTGAGTGTGTAGGAGGAGGGGTTTCTGGGGGGTGAGTGTGTATAGGAGGAGGGTTTCTGGGGTGAGTGTGTATAGGAGGAGGGGTTTCTGGGGTGAGTGTGTATAGGAGGAGGGGTTTCTGGGTGTGAGTGTGTGTATAGGAGGGGTTTCTGGGGTGAGTGTGTAGGAGGAGGGGTTTCTGGGGGGTGAGTGTGTAGGAGGAGGGGTTTCTGGGGGGTGAGTGTGTAGGAGGAGGGGTTTCTGGGGTGAGTGTGTAGGAGTAGGGGTTTCAGGGGGGTGAGTGTGTAGGAGGAGGGTTTCTGGGGTGAGTGTAGGAGGAGGGGTTTCTGGGGGGTGAGTGTGTAGGAGGAGGGGTTTCTGGGGTGAGTGTATAGGAGGAGGGGTTTCTGGGGTGAGTGTGTATAGGAGGAGGGGTTTCTGTGGTGAGTGTGTGTAGGAGGAGGGGTTTCTGTGGTGAGTGTGTGTAGGAGGAGGGGTTTCTGGGGTGAGTGTGTAGGAGGAGGGGTTTCTGGGGTGAGTGTGTAGGAGGAGGGGTTTCTGGGGTGAGTGTGTAGGAGGAGGGGTTTCTGGGGTGAGTGTGTAGGAGGAGGGGTTTCTGCGGGGGTGTGTAGGAGGAGGGGTTTCTGGGGGATGAGTGTGTAGGAGGAGGGGTTTCTGGGGGGTGAGAGTGTATAGGAAGGGTTTCTGGGGTGAGTGTGTAGGAGGAGGGGTTTCTGGGGGTGAGTGTGTAGGAGGAGGGGTTTCTGGGGGTGAGTGTGTAGGAGGAGGGGTTTCTGGGGTGAGTGTGTAGGAGGAGGGGTTTCTGGGGTGAGTGTGTAGGAGGAGGGGTTTCTGGGGTGAGTGTGTAGGAGGAGGGGTTTCTGGGGTATGTGTGTAGGAGGACTAGTTTCTGGGGGGTGAGTGTATAGGAGGAGGGGTTTCTGGGGTGAGTGTGTATAGGAGGAGGGGTTTCTGGGGGGTGAGTGTGTATAGGAGGAGGGGTTTCTGGGGGTGAGTGTATAGGAGGAGGGGTTTCTGGGGGTGAGTGTATAGGAGGAGGGGTTTCTGGGGTGAGTGTGTGTAGGAGGAGGGGTTTCTGGGGTGAGTGTGTATAGGAGGAGGGGTTTCTGGGGGTGAGTGTGTGTAGGAGGAGGGGTTTCTGGGGTGAGTGTGTAGGAGGAGGGGTTTCTGGGGTGAGTGTATAGGAGGAGGGGTTTTTGGGGTGAGTGTGTAGGAGGAGGGGTTTCTGGGGGGTGAGTGTGTAGGAGGAGGGGTTTCTGGGGGGTGAGTGTGTAGGAGGAGGGGTTTCTGGGGGGTGAGAGTGTATAGGAAGGGTTTCTGGGGTGAGTGTGTTAGAGGAGGGGTTTCTGGGGTGAGTGTGTATGAGGAGGGGTTTCTGGGGTGAGTGTGTGTAGGAGGAAGGTTTCTGGGGTGAGTGTGTAGGAGGAGGGGTTTCTGGGGTGAGTGTGTAGGAGGAGGGGTTTCTGGGGGGTGAGTGTGTAGGAGGAGGGGTTTCTGGGGGGTGTGTGTGTAGGAGGACTAGTTTCTGGGGGGTGAGTGTATAGGCGGAGGGGTTTCTGGGGTGAGTGTGTAGGAGGAGGGGTTTCTGGGGTGAGTGTGTAGGAGGAGGGGTTTCTGGGGTGAGTGTATAGGAGGAGGGGTTTTTGGGGTGAGTGTGTAGGAGGAGGGGTTTCTGGGGGGTGAGTGTGTAGGAGGAGGGGTTTCTGGGGGGTGAGTGTGTAGGAGGAGGGGTTTCTGGGGTAAGTGTGTAGAGGAGGAGGGGTTTCTGGGGTAAGTGTGTAGAGGAGGGGTTTCTGGGGTGAGTGTGTAGGAGGAGGGGTTTCTGGGGGTGAGTGTGTAGGAGGAGGGGTTTCTGGGGTGACTGTAGGAGGAGGGGTTTCTGGGGTGAGTGTGTATAGGAGGAGGGGTTTCTGGGGTGAGTGTGTAGGAGGAGGGGTTTCTGGGAGGGTGTGTTTAGGAGGAGGGGTTTCTGGGGTGAGTGTGTAGGAGGAGGGGTTTCTGGGGTGAGTGTGTATAGGAGGGGTTTCTGGGGTGAGTGTATAGGAGGAGGGGTTTCTGGGGGGTGAGTGTGTAGGAGGAGGGGTTTCTGGGGTAAGTGTGTATAGGAGGAGGGGTTTCTGGGGTGAGTGTGTAGGAGGAGGGGTTTCTGGGGTGAGTGTGTAGGAGGAGGGGTTTCTGGGGTGAGTGTATAGGAGGAGGGGTTTCTGGGGTGAGTGTGTAGGAGGAAGGGTTTCTGGGGTGAGTGTGTAGGAGGAGGGGTTTCTGGGGTGAGTGTGTAGGAGGAGGGGTTTCTGGGGTGAGTGTGTAGGAGGAGGGGTTTCTGGGGGGTGAGTGTGTATAGGAGGAGGGGTTTCTGGGGTGAGTGTGTAGGAGGAGGGGTTTCTGGGGGGTGAGTGTGTAGGAGGAGGGTTTTCTGGGGTGACTGTAGGAGGAGGGGTTTCTGGGGTGAATGTTTATAGGAGGAGGGGTTTCTGGGGTGAGTGTGTATGAGGAGGGTTTCTGGGGTGAGTGTGTAGGAGGAGGGGTTTCTGGGGGGTGAGTGTGTGTAGGAGGAAGGGTTTCTGGGGTGAGTGTATAGGAGGAGGGGTTTCTGGCGTGAGTGTGTAGGAGGAGGGGTTTCTGGGGTGAGTGTGTAGGAGGAGGGGTTTCTGGGGGGTGAGTGTGTAGGAGAAGGGGTTTTCTGGGGGGTGAGTGTGTAGGAGGAGGGGTTTCTGGGGTGAGTGTGTATAGGAGGAGGGGTTTCTGGGGGTGAGTGTGTAGGAGGAGGGGTTTCTGGGGTGAGTGTATAGGAGGAGGGGTTTCTGGGGTGATTGTGTAGGAGGAGGGGTTTCTGGGGTGAGTGTGTAGGAGGAGGGGTTTCTGGGGTGAGTGTGTAGGAGGAGGGGTTTCTGGGGTGAGTGTGTAGGAGGAGGGGTTTCTGGGAGGGTGTGTTTAGGAGGAGGGGTTTCTGGGGTGAGTGTGTGTAGGAGGAGGGGTTTCTGGGGTGAGTGTGTAGGAGGAGGGGTTCCTGGGGGGGTGTGTTTAGGAGGAGGGGTTTCTGGGGGGTGTGTGTGTAGGAGGAGGGGTTTCTGGGTGGTGAGTGTGTAGGAGGAGGGGTTTCTGGGGGTGAGTGTGTAGGAGGAGGGGTTTCTGGGGTGAGTGTGTAGGAGGAGGGGTTTCTGGGGTGAGTGTGTAGGAGGAGGGGTTTCTGGGCGGGTGTGTTTAGGAGGAGGGGTTTCTGGGGGGTGTGTGTGTAGGAGGAGGGGTTTCTGGGGGGTGAGTGTGTAGGAGGAGGGGTTTCTCCGGGGGTGTGTAGGAGGAGGGGTTTCTGGGGGGTGAGTGTGTAGGAGGAGGGGTTTCTGGGTGTGAGTGTGTAGGAGGAGGGGTTTCTGGGGTGAGTGTGTAGGAGGAGGGGTTTCTGGGGTGAGTGTGTAGGAGGAGGGGTTTCTGGGGTGAGTGTGTAGGAGGAGGGGTTTCTGGGGGGGTGTGTTTAGGAGGAGGGGTTTCTGGGGGGTGTGTGTGTAGGAGGAGGGGTTTCTGGGGGGTGAGTGTGTAGGAGGAGGGGTTTCTCCGGGGGTGTGTAGGAGGAGGGGTTTCTGGGGGGTGAGTGTGTAGGAGGAGGGGTTTCTGGGGGTGAGTGTGTAGGAGGAGGGGTTTCTGGGGTGAGTGTGTAGGAGGAGGGGTTTCTGGGGTGAGTGTGTAGGAGGAGGGGTTTCTGGGGTGAGTGTGTAGGAGGAGGGCGTTGCTGTGGGTGTGAGGGGGCTGCGGTGGTATATGAATGTACATGGGGGTCACGGGGCCAAGTGGACGTGTGCAGATGGGGCTGGTGAGTGTGCATACCTGGAGGTTTGGGCGTGTAGGGAGGGCACTAAGGAGGGAGACTTGTGTGCAGCAGTGTAGGCTGCAGGTGAGGAAGGCCGGGTGCAGGGAGGTGGTGCCTCTCCCGTGCTCCGGCGCCCTCCTCACCCCGCTCTCGGCCCTCAGCTGGCGGAGATCCACGGGGTGCCCCGAGGTCTCTATGACGGGCCTGTGCATGAAGTGGCGCTGCCCGCCAAGCCGGGGAGCAGCGCCCCGGCCCGGGCTTCCTGCTCCGGCAAGATCTCAGTGCTGCCTGTGCGTAACCTGCACCAGTCTGGATTCAGCCTCTCTGGTGAGTGAGCCGGAGCCGGCCGGCCGGAAGGCTTAGGGGTGCGGGTGGGAGATGCCGGCCCTGTGAACCGTGGGGAGGTAGGAGCCCCTTCCTTGTTCCCCCAGTGCAGGAAAGAGCCCCCCCCCGCTCGAATCAAGCATGCGGGGCAGGGCAGAGGCCGGGGGAAAGCTGAGGGGCTTCCCAAGGGCGTCCTGTGCCCTTGAGGATCAGCCCTGACGCACGGGGAACGGGCCCAGGTGTGTTCCCTGACCGGATGGCTGAGAGGCCATGGGACCAACCACCACGCCAGCCTCTGGGCAGAGCCCCAGCTGTGTTTCCGGGGGCCTCAGAGATCTTTCTAGAGCCCCAGCGGCTGTTCACCCTGCCGACTGTACCAGGTCTCCTCCTCTCCGTCCCTGTCCTTGTCCTGCAGCTTGGTCCTGCCGTCACCTGGCACACAGACCCCTGTGGAATGCAGCCTGCCTGCCCCGGGGCAGCCTCATCCAGCACAGGACCACAGAGGGCCAAAGCAGGCCGGCCTCCGGGGGGTCCTTCCTGGGGGTCCTCCTTGGACTTTGTCTCCACAGATGCTAGGGATCCCCAGGCCCTTCCTGTACCCCAAAGCCTCGGGGAAGGGGGCCTGCCTGGCGTCACCCCTCCCGTCTGGGGGTCTGAGGCCTCCGGCCACTTCCTTATTCTCCTTTCCACACCCAGGGTCTCAAGCGGATGATCACATTGCCAGACGCACAGCTCAGAAGATCATGGCGCCCCCTGGTGGACGCTCCAACATCACCTCGCTCTCCTAGGCCGTCTCCAGGGCCTGGGCCCCGCTGGGCCCGGCGGCCCTTCCTGGCTCTTTATTCCGTAGAAGTGATTTTGAAAGGCGCTTGGCCTTGTCTACCCCTCCCCCACAAGCTCTCCTTTGGGGTCCTAGATCTTGCTATGAGATGCCCCCGCCCCTCCTTCCCGAGGGCTGAATTTGGAGAGATTTCACTGCCAGGGTGAGGGGGGCTGGGCTGGGCAGCCACAGCTCAGGTGACCCCCAACCCATACCAGTGCCCGGGGCCTCAGCTCCGCACCAGCGCTTCCCTCTGAGAAGCTCCACGCTGGGGCTCCTGACCCCAGGCTTTTGTCCAGCCCGTGGCGTGCCTGCTGCCCACTGCCCATTTAGGTCACTGCCTCACAGAAGCCTTGGAGCTCCTGACCACCCGCGGCGGGGGCAGACACCCCTCAGCTCTGTCCCTCGGGCACGGGGAGCAGAGCTGCCAGGGGCTTCAGGATCCACCTGAAGGGCAGGGCACAGGCAGCCCCTCCCGGTGGGGCGCGTGGTACTTCACAGACCACACCTGAGCTCCCAGAGCAGCCCGTTTGCAGGGGTTTTCTGACCCGTTAGTGAGGCGTCCTCCTTTGACTGTGACACGTGTGCTTCCGTAGATGTGTTAGACTAGCAGCTTTGTGCCCCGTGGAAACTGTAGCCAGGCATCTGCACGCGCTGCCCTGGATGGCAGGCCGCTGTTCAGCCTGACACATCAGGTCGATTAAAGGCGTCTGGGTTCAAGGCCGCCTGTGTGTGCACAGCCAGAGACCCTCCCCACAGCATCCCTGAGCAGCGACTCTGAGTGCCGAAGCCACACCTGGCCACGGCCACCGGGGTGGACGGGGCCCACTCTGCACCACAGGCAGGGCTGGCCTGACCTGTGGAGCCCTTCCTCAGTGGAGGGGCATGAGGACGTGGGCCTGGCACAGGGTGTGTCACGTAGGACACCCACACCCTTCTGACTGGCTGGGCACAGGCTGGGGTGGGAGGCAGTAGAGATGTGGGGTGAGCACCCTCAGCAGGTGGCAGGTGGTGGGCAGGGAGCCCCGCAGCGCTGACTCACAGCCAGTCCCACCCAGCGATCAGAACTTTCTAGACGTTCGAGCTGCTGAGCCAGCCTCTGAGCCTTAGCCTCTTTTCATGAAGGCCCACCTCTGCAGGGGCTCCTGGGGCCGTACCAGGCTGTTTTGAGCCGGGGCCCATTAGCGCCATGTTGGTCCCACACTCCCTGGGGAAGGCCCACCTGCTCCCCCCCTCGCCCCCCCCACCTGCTCCCCCCCCCCGCCCCCCCCACCGGCCTCCACCAGGGTTTCCCGTGGCCCAGACACCTGGCGAGCTGCGGCCCCAGGAACCCACCAGGCTGACATCCACCGTGCCAGTGTTGGCCCTCTCCCTGCCAGGACGGGGTGGGTGATCAGGAAAGCAGGTGGCCTACATCCCTGCAGACGCATGCTGCGTTCACACAGCTCTGCAAACCGCGGCCTCCTCCCTGCGCTCCCAGCGCCAGGCTCCCGGGAAGTGGCCTCCACAGTGGCTGCCTGCGTCTCTGTCCTTGCCGTGCCTCCGTCCCGAGGACCGCCTCCCGGGGCCCAGGCTAAACCCCACTGCGTCTCCGAGGGGCGGCCATGACGCAGGGAGCCGCCCGCTCCATCACGGGCCTTCCGAATCCGCCTGCAGCACAGCCGTGAGTCCCGAGTGTTCTGCGGCGGCTCTGCCCTTCCTTTCGCCTCCAGCCAGGCAGGAGGACAGTTTAGGTGGGGTCCAGGTGGCACACAGACAGACGTGGGGCACGGAGTCCCCAGGCAAAGGCTTGTCCCTGTGCCGAGGGCACCCCCTTGGGACGGAGAGAAGGGTGCAGCGCGCTGTGGCGGTGGAGCCGCCGCCCCCTCGCCTGCCGGGCACTGTCCGGCAGGACTGCCCACCGCCCGCCCGCTGAGCGCCCTGGCAGGCCTTCCCTCCTCAGACCAAAGGCTGGGCTCACAGCGCCCCGAGGATGCAGCCCACACGCACACGACAGAGAGGGAGAGAGTAGTTCTTACACTGTAATTCTCAGAGTGAAAACGATACAGAAACAGCAGACATCGCTGGGATGGGGCGGATCTCTAGAAAACATTCTGCACCTCCCTCCACCCCTCCCACCCCTGCCCTGGAGAGACACGAACCCCGCAAAACCTGGGCTGCCCTCCGCCTTGGCGGCAAGCTCAGGGTCGCGGTGGCCAGCAGAGCCGGCAGCAACCGCGAGGGGCTTGGGGTGCAGGGTCCCGCCTCTGTGACCTGCCAGTGGCCTCCGGGGAACTGCCCCCCCCCACAGCCACCGGCACGGCTCCACGGGGGTCCCGGCCACGCGGCACGGCTCCCCGTCTGGCCGCCACCCTGGACAGGGACAGGTAGCCCCCACTGGCCTCGCCACCCACCACCGCCCGCAGTGGGCGTGGGACTCAGGCTCTGCCTCTGGCTGCCCCTCGTCTCCAAAGCAGCTTGGGAATGAACGAGCCCCCAGGCCACCCGGCGCTCTAGCTGCTCCCCGCCGACGGGCAGATGGAGCTGCACATGGGCAGGGCCGCAGGCTCGGCCTCGCTGTCCGCCGTGGGTTCCGTGGCCTCGGAGGGCAAGGGCTCGCTGGTGGGGTCCTGGCTCCTCTTCAGCCTGAAGGCACGGACACAATGTCAGCCGCCAGCACCCAGGAGGACCGTGCCCCTGGGGTCGGTGTCTGGCGTCTCCCAGGAGGGAAGCCCTGCACCAGGCCCAGCCCGCAGCACACACACGGCCTCCCTGCTCACAGGAGGCCCACCAGGGCCGGGCCGGTCGGCCTCGGAACAAGGCTTCTGGGGAGCTTGGCCAGCCCTGTTCTTCCCCAGGCCCTCTGACCCCGGGGTGGGTCAGTGTCTGATCACCATGTCCAGCGCCCTATGCTCTCCACACGTCTGGCTCACACCCACACGCCAGCTCACACCCACACGCCCGGCACACACCCACACGCCCGGCTCACACCCACACGCCTGCTCACACCCACACGCCAGCTCACACCCACACGCCAGCTCCTCCAGGTGCAGGAAGCACCCTCTCCTAGAGGCAGGTGCTGCCCACCATTTGTGACCCGTTTTAATCCCATCAGCCACCTGTGCCTTGTCTGTGTCGTCCACACCTGATCTGTAGGAAGGGTCTGCTGACTAGTGGCCAGACATGGAGAGCAGACGCGTCTGCCCGAAGGCCACACAGCCTGACGGAGCGACCTGCCGGGGTCTCCAGGAAGCCCCTGGGGCACACGGGGCCTCCCGCCCTGCATGCCGCGTTACGCCCATACTCACTTTTCTCTGTTAAAGATCACGAAGTCCTGCTGGATGGCGTCCAGGCAGTCCTGCAGGTAGTCATTCTCCTGCGAACGAAGACACAGGAAGTGTGGCCGGCACCTCTCAAGCCTGGCCGGAGCATGACACCGGGAGTGTGCCCTGATCTTTCTGGGCTGGCTGTGTCGGCAGGCACCCCTGGTCCTGGGTCTGTCCCTGCAGAGCAGGGCACCCCCGGGTCGGCTCTAGTCCAGGGCACCACTGTCTGGTGGCAGCGCAGACCCCGTAACAAAGGCTGGGTTTGCTCGAGCAGAAAGGCATCTGCTGCAGAGCTGCAAGGCTGGCCCAGTGCGCAGATAGGCGCCAGGAAGGCACCTGGGAGGGCGGGACAGGGCACAGGGGTGGCGTGCGGGGCTGGGGAGGGCGGGACAGCGCAGGGGTGGCGTGCAGGGCTGGGGAGGGCAGGACAGCGCAGGGGTGGCGTGCAGGGCTGGGGAGGGCGGGACAGGGCGCAGGGGTGGTGTGCAGGGCTGGGGAGGGCGGGACAGCGCAGGGGTGGCATGCAGGCCTGGGGAGGGCGGGACAGCGCAGGGGTGGCGTGCAGGGCTGGGGAGGGCAGGACAGCGCAGGGGTGGTGTGCAGGGCTGGGGAGGGGACAGCGCAGGGGTGGCGTGCGGGGCTGGGGAGGGCGGGACAGCGCAGGGGTGGTGTGCAGGGCTGGGGAGGGGACAGCGCAGGGGTGGTGTGCGGGGTTGGGGAGGGCAGGACAGCGCAGGGGTGGTGTGCGGGGCTGGGGGTCAGGACAGAGCACAGGGGTGGTGTGCGGGGCTGGGGGTCAGGACAGAGCACAGGGTGGTGTGTGGGGCTGGGGAGGACAGCGCAGGGGTCGTGTGCGTGGCTGGGGAGGGACAGCGCAGGGGTGGTGTGCAGGGCTGGGGAGGGCGGGACAGCGCAGGGGTGGTGTGCAGGGCTGGGGAGGAGACAGCGCAGGGGTGGCGTGCGGGGCTGGGGAGGGCGGGACAGCGCAGGGGTGGTGTGCAGGGCTGGGGAGGGCGGGACAGCACAGGGGTGGTGTGCAGGGCTGGGGAGGGCGGGACAGCACAGGGGTGGTGTGCAGGGCTGGGGAGGGCAGGACAGCACAGGGGTGGTGTGCAGGGCTGGGGAGGAGAGCGCAGGGGTGGCGTGAAGGGCTGGGGAGGAGAGCGCAGGGGTGGCGTGCAGGGCTGGGGAGGGCGGGACAGCGCAGGGGTGGTGTGCAGGGCTGGGGAGGACAGCACAGGGGTGGTGTGCAGGGCTGGGGAGGACAGCGCAGGGGTGGCGTGCAGGGCTGGGGAGGGCGGGACAGCGCAGGGGTGGTGTGCAGGGCTGGGGAGGGACAGTGCAGGGGTGGCGTGCAGGGCTGGGGAGGACAGTGCAGGGGTGGCGTGCAGGGCTGGGGAGGACAGTGCAGGGGTGGCGTGCAGGGCTGGGGAGGACAGCGCAGGGGGGGTGTGCAGGGCTGGGGAGGACAGCACAGGGTTGGTGTGCAGGGCTGGGGAGGACAGCGCAGGGGTGGTGTGCAGGGCTGGGGAGGGCGGGACAGCGCAGGGGTGGTGTGCAGGGCTGGGGAGGGACAGTGCAGGGGTGGCGTGCAGGGCTGGGGAGGGACAGCGCAGGGGTGGCGTGCAGGGCTGGGGGGACAGCGCAGGGGTGGCGTGCGGGGCT